AGGTTGGTTCCACCTCACACCTAAAACTTATGAAGACTGTGTCTTCAGACCTAGCCAGCCCCAACTTTCAATTACAATTAAGGGCAGCCACCAATAGCTTGGGCTGAGGTTGGTTCCACCTCATACTGTTATATATAGACCATTTGGAGAGTTCAAATCAGCCTCCCCCCCTCCCCCTAAGATTTCCCCCCACAACGTCCCACACCACATCCCTGCTGTGTATTGAGAACATCTCCCGATGATGATATCATCATTTCAGTCATTATCATTGGAAGATATTCCCAATACACGGCAGGGATGTGCTGTGGGATATTGTGGGGGGCTGATTAGGTCTCCTATTTGGACCACTGAACTATTGCAAATCCCACGTTGATCATAATTGCTCGAGGACTAGTGGTTGTGAAGTGTTATTAGCCGTTCAGCCCTTAAAAGAGAAATCAATTGAAGGTTGTGGCTGAGATGATAGTGGACTTTTTTTTTTTCCTTTCTAGGTTTTTTTTTTCCTTCTTAGGTTTTTATACAAGAGCAGAAGATTATATAGTTTTTGACCAATGACCACTTTGGTATAGGGTTTGTACAAGTTGTTTTTTTTCCAAGGTTTTTAAACTGAATTGGACAACAAACCGATCAGGGGTCTGATTCCTGGGTTGAACAGTCCAACCATTCAAACTGAATGAACGACCCATTCTGACAAAAATATTAAGAAAAGGCCAAAACCGTTGAATGGTTTGAATGGCTTGAATGATTCGACTGTATAAGTCAGTGGTTTGTTGACCAAATCAATGGTTTTTGGTAAAATAACGGTTTTGGACTAAAATGGAATTGATCACCTGAACAATTCCTGATGTTTTCAGTCCAACCATCTGGTTCGATTCGGTTTTGAAAACCATGTTTTTTCTTTAATAAACAACATACCATTGGTGTTTTATTCAAATTCTCCGTAAAAGTCCAATGACTCCAGTCTACAACACTAAGGTCTAGAAGCAAATAAAAAAGGAAGTGCTATCAACTGATAGTGATTAAATCTGTTCAAGGGACATTTTACACTATTGATAAAATGTGCTTTTAACCTTCATTATTTTATATACTCCTTTAAATTTACCTTTCTAAACATAAATATAACAAAAATTTTAATCTGGCCAATTATTAATCAGTTAACAAAAATTATATATATGATTTACTATATAATCAATCGGTTTGGGTCTTAATCAGTTCAGAACAGCAAGAACTGGTCCCAAACCAATTATTAATCTGGACAAAAACTTAAAAGGAAAATTTTCCATTAGTATCTTGTATCTGGTGTTATTTTGGTTCCTGAACTTTAAAACACGATACTTTAATATCCAAACATTTAAAATGTGTCAATTAGTCCGTTAACCAACCGTTAAGTGGCATTTGATTATGTGCCTCCATTATTGGATATGTTGCCTCATCCCCGTCGAATGTATTTTCTAAGTCAGCATAATCAAATAATAGAGGTTCCTCATTATCATATACTATCCAATCTTCTGTAATTTCAATGTGTTCAACCTCAATAGAGTCATAGATCTGAACTTTCTTCCTACAAGTTATAGTCACAAGTAATCATATAAAGCATGTAACAACATAAGCAATGGGCTAGTAACTAGTGTTTAGTTAACCAACAAACTAATAATTAACTGGATTAAATGAATAATAAAATGAACACTAAAATGCATACCAATCCTTCAAACAAAGGTTATAGTGAACACATACTAGGTCATTGAACCTTTGGTGTTCTAACTTATTCCTTCTCTTTTTATGTATCTGTTCAAAAACTCTCCAATCACGTAGACATCCAAATGAACTATAAATTTGGCTAAGAACCTGTACTGCAATTTTTTAAGAAGTGGAGTAGCAGATCTAGATTCACTTTTGCTTAGGAGATGCTGGCTCAAGTTAGGTACTTAGCTGCCTAGGGCTAGGGGGTGATCATAGGCTGGGCAAGCACATGCTTTGCACTTGTGATAGGGGCTATGACCTAGGGGTGTCAGACTAGATTTGGTCCAATCCGATCCAATCCAATATTAATCCATTACAAATGGACCAAGTCCATTCCAATCCAATGAATATTTTCTATCATTATAAATGGTAACAGAAATTTTTTATATTCATTGTTACTATATCTCTTATTTTCTATCAAACCAAACATGGATTGCGGTTTCTTGTTTTATGTATTTCTTACAACTACCTAGCCTTCTACCTAGCTATTGTTTTCAATTTATAGGATTTTCTAGTAGAAAGAAACATGGTTGTGGCTTAGTGCAAATCTAGCCTTTTTAGTCCCATAAATATACTTAGGGGAAATTTTAGTTATTTGCTGCCAAAGATAGTGGGAATGAAACATTTAGGGTTGTAAACAAATTGAATTGAAATCCTACTCTCAAATCCCATATAGGGTAGAATTCACAGTTCAATTGTGTACAAAAACCCCCAACTTTTTTGCTACCTCAAGTAAGCTCAATGAAT